CCCTCCGGGGGCCCACTGGGGCCCCGGGAAGGCCCCAAGAACGCTCCCAGAGGGCCCCAAGAATGCTCCAAGAGGGCCCCAAGAGGACCCCACAAGTGACAAAAACTATTTGCATGAGGGTGCAACTTATTCGGCGCCTCTTGGGGCGCTCTTGGAGCCGTGCTGGGCGCCACTCGTGGACGACATGGGCTGGGCGACGGCATGTGGACCCTGTCGCTTGGGCCATCGGGGGTGCTCCCCACTGGGGCCACGAAGCCTGTGAGCGTATGACGGAATGGGCTGGGCGGCGGCCTGTGGGCCCTGCCTGTGGGGCCGTCGGTGCAGCTCCCCGTGGGGCTACGAAACGTGCGAAACGTATGCCGAAATATGCTGGGCGGCGGCCTGGGAAACCTGCCGCTGGGATTTTGTTTGGTGGAGTTGCCTATGGGGGCACGAAATGTTTGAGGGTGTGTCAATGTGGCCTGGGCGACGGCATGTGGACCTTGCCGCCGGGACCTCCGATGAGCTCCTCATGGGGACACGAAGCGTCTGAGGGGCGTGCCGACATGGGCTGGGCGGCGCACTAAGGACCCTGCCGATGGGGCCCTCGGTGGAGCACCTCGCAAGGCCACGAGACTTGCGGGGGATGTGGCGAAGCAGAGACGCGGGGGAACAAGGGGGTGTTTTGATGATGTTGATGAGGCTGGTGGTGGTATTGATGATGGAGACGACGAGGATGCTGATGATATTGATGATGATGGTGGTGGTGGCGACGACGACGATGGACGATGACGACGGGGACACGCGGAGAGCAGGGGCAGATACGCGAAGAGGGAGGACGAGGGAGGAGGCCAGAAGGAATGACGCGGGGCGGTGTCTCTTCAAAACGAAGAACCAACACTGCAATATGGTAGGAAATTTCTGGACGACCCCCCCCGTGGCGCGGTCAATGTCCGCGACAGCATCGCTGGCACTACGAACGAAACTTTCGAACTCTTCCTGCGACGCTACCCGCGGGGTGGATCTGCCAGGGATGGGGGTTGAAACCGCCCCAGCGCAAAGCAAATGTACAATCCTGAGAAACCCCAACCAACATCAACCGATCCGCAACAAGCACGCAAGCCTTTGACGACCCCAACGCACGTGACATCGCATAACGCGACGCGCCATCGAAAACGTTCGACGCGCGGCCTCGGAATGACATCGGGCTTCGTGGAACGTCGACTGGAAAACATGAAAAACCGCCCTGTAGGCTCCGAGATCAAAATTAGTGATGTGAAAGATTTCGGGTCTCGGCTGATTAACTACTGGGCTGGCTCGCAGTTGCGGTCCAGCGACGCAATCGTCAGAACCCCGACCTGAGCCGCAGCGCTGGATGATGAGTTGGCCCCCGGCGCCCTTGCAGGCGCTGGCGGTGGGACAGCTTCTGTTCCGAGGTCGGCCCCGCCTGGTAGATGAGCTCGTTGATCGCCGGAGTGGCGCGGCCCTCCAGGTCGCGCTGGCGCCCGGGGGCGTTGGCCGGCGCGCGGGCGCGGCCGCGCGGGAAGGTCGGCGAGCCCGCGCTTCCCGAACTCGCGGGCGCGCGCAGGGCGATCGCGCCCCTCCTCCCCGCGGCAGCCGGGGCGTTCCCAGCGCGCGGGGGCGCTGCGCGGACGCCGTCACGCAGCCGCATCGCGCTAGCGCGCCTTAACTGCTCGGGGATCCCCGAGGCGTTGGAGACCAAGCCGGCGGTCTTCCTCAAGATGCCCCCGCGACGATCTCGAATCCCGAGTTGGCACTGGTCGAAGATGACCTTGTGCGCGCCTGGTGCTACTAGCACCTGTGGCCGCGCGCCTCGTCGCGCGGCCGCGATGGGCGCGGCTGCTCGTTGGCGTTGTAGCCGCCGATCTTCAGCCGCAATAGTTCTACGTGGCCGCGGAATCGGCCTCGCGGGGCCGCGCCCTCGTAGGATCGCAGCCAAGAGCGGTAGTTGGGTTATTCGGTGAACGGGGCCCGACGACCGAAAGGCCGGCGCGCGGGAGCCACGATGGCCACTGGGAGCCGATTTTGTCGGACGTACCTCTCCCTGGCCTTCTGCTGGCTCTCGTCGTTGGGTCGCAGCCCGTGACCGAGTCGAAGTTGGCGCCTGCCCTGACGTGGCAGACAGCGAGTCTGCTAGCCCGCGCATCCCAAGTGCAAAACTCCATGATGTCGGCGCCGTGATCAGTGGAGGTGGGGTAGGCGGGCAGGTGGTGAAAGTCGTCGAGCTCGGTGGACTGCGACGTTTGAGCCCTCGCCAGATGGCAATCTGATGCAGGGGCCGACGCGTCGGCAAGCCGGAGGCGAGGTTGCCGCGGAGGTCGTCGTCGCACTCGTCGGCGCGACCCGGCTCGCCAGTGGCCGGGAAGCCAAGAAGACGTGGGGACGGACCCGCGAGGTCGGTGCCGCAATCGTCGCAATGGTCCTCTACGACCAGCATTATTGCTTCGGGCGTGTGGCCCTCCTATCCTCGCTTCCTGGCGCGCGCGCTCAGCCGCGGGTGGGCGCCGACGACGTAGTAGCCGGTGACCTACTGTGGATGGCCAGCGTTGTGGTCCTCGGCGTGCTGCTTGAAGTGGTGTTCGACCCCGGTGCTGAAACTGCTGCTGCGCCTCGCCGAGAGCGCACCTTCCGCGGTGCGCCTGTTCTCCTGGACGTGCAACTGCAGTTGGGCGCCAGACGTAGCGCGTCGCGGCGCCTCAGGGCCAAGTCTGCGCGTCTGCCCGCGGTCGCCCAATCGCCGGGGCGTTCCTCCAGCTCGGTGCTGCGTCGGAACAGCGGGGCAAGAATCGGCGCGCCCGTGAGCGCCATGGAGGCAACGCCGCCGCGCTCGGCCTCGGGGGCCAGGAGGCGCGCGACAAGCCCGGTGCTTGCTAGAGTAGCCACGAAGCGCGCGAAGCGTGTGTCGAAATGGGGCAGGCCGGAATTCCCTATGGGGCCACGGAGCGTGTGAAAGGTTGGCCAAGAAGGGGCGGCGCCGCCATGCGGACTGCACCTCAGGGGCCTTGGGTGGATCTCCCTATGGGGCCACGAAACGTGTGAGGGGTGTGCCAAAATGGGGCGGCGCCGCCATGCGAGCTGCGCCGCAGGCTGCGCCACTGGGACCTTCTTGGTGGGAAGGAACTCCCCATGGGGCCACGAAACATGTGAGGGGTGTGCCAAAATGGGGCGGCACCGCCATGCGAGCTGCGCCACTGGGACCTTAGTTGGAGCTCCATATGGGGCAACGAAACGTGTGAGGGGTGTGCCAGAATGGGGCGGCGCCACCATGCGAGCTGCGCCACTGGGACCTTAGTTGGAGCTCCCCATGGGGAGACGAAACATGTGAGGGGTGTGCCAAAATGGGGCGGCGCCGCCATGCGAGCTTCGCCACTGGGACCATAGGAAAAGCTCCCTACGGGGCCACGAAGCGTGTGAGGGCTGTGCCGAAATGGGGCGGCGCCGCCATGCGGTCTTACTGGGAACTCCCCGTGGGGCCACGAAACATGTGAGGGGTGTTCCAGAATGGGGCGGCGCCGCAATGCGAGCGGCGCCACTGGGACATGGGGCCACGCACCTTAGGAGGAGCTCCCTATGGGGCCACGAAGCGTGCGAGGGGTGTACCAAAATGGGGCGGCAGCGCCATGCGAGCTGCGCCACTGGGACCTTAGGAGGAGCTCCCTCGGGGATGCGCCGCCATGCGACTGCGCCACTGGGACCTTCTTAGTGGGAGCTCCCTATGGGGCCACGAAGCGTGTGAGGGGTGTGCCAAAATGGGCGGCGCCGCCATGCGAGCTGCGCCACTGGGACATAGGTGGAGCTCCCTATGGGGCCACGAAGCGTGCGAGGGGTGTACCAAAATGGGGCGGCAGCGCCATGCGAGCTGCGCCACTGGGACCTTAGTTGGAGCTCCCTAGAGGGCCACGAAGCGTGTGAGGGGTGTGCTGACATGGGTGGTGGGGACGATGATGATGATGATGATGATGATGATGATGATGATGATGATGATGATGATGATGATGATGATGATGATGATGATGATGATGATGATGATGAGGAGGATGAGGATGAGGATGAGGATGATGCTGCAGATGATGATGCTGATGGATCATGGGCGATGGTGATGAGATTGACGATGATGCTGATGATGGGGAGAGGGAGGGGGGGCAGCGGGAGGAAGGAACGCGGGGCGCCGTCTCTTCAAAACGAGAACCCGACACCACAGGATGGTTGGGACAACAAGAGGATCGAGGAGGGCGGGGAGGAGGAAAAGGACAGATAAAGAGGGGGGGGAGGGGAGGAGGACTGAGGGGAATCGAGGGGGACAGGAACACGAACGTGAGGGGGGATTGCAGCTGTAGGGATCCGCCGAAGGGGGGCCGCATCATGCCGCGGGACCCCCCCCGAAGTCGCAGCCCATCCCCGCCGCACCTCTGGCGGTGCCTCGTGCCTGGGGGACGGGCCGCGTGGAGGCGCCCGCACGGCTGCCCAACTCGGCGCCCGAAGCCTGCAGCGGCCCTGCACAAGCAGAGGCCGAGCTTCCCGCTGCTGTCTCGCGAGGGGCACGAGTGACCGGCTCCAAGGAGCAGGCAGAGGATCCGAGTGGACCCAGCACGAACACCCAGGTCGAGGCTGGCCGACAAAAAATGCTAGGGCTACGGGGCATTCGCTGGAAACTGGCCATAGAGAAGCTTTTTGCATGATGAAGTTGGCAAGAGCGATGGGTCACGGTCAGGAGTTCAGGCTTCCTAGAAACGCGGATGCCTCCCTCCCTCCCTCCCCTGTCCACGCCAACAACCCCCCCTGCCAATCCGCTCTTCCCTCGGCCTCCTCTCCACCTCACTGCACCCTTCTTTGGACGCCCGAAGTGGGTACGGAAAAAATGGGTACAATGCCCAACAACAAATGTTGTCCCAAACCAACAGCGGCCGCCGTTGGGCAGGCGGCCCTCTGTCTCGAATGGACCAAGGCCGCGGCGGCGTGGACAGCGAATCCTGTTCAAAGTGAACAGGAGCTGCTGTTGGGCATTGTACCCCTTCTTTCCGTACCCATTTCGGGCGTCCAGACCTTCCCCCGCGCCTCGTGCTCACCATCCCTCGCCGCCGGCTTGCAGCCCCTCGGCCGGCCGGGGCGGGCCAGGAGCTGCGCAGCAGCTACCTGGAGGGAAAGGCAGCCGAGGGCCATGACCAAGACCGAACTCGGAGACGTCGGTGCCGATCTTGGCAGCCAGCCGCCTTCAAGACGACGCCAGGACGAGGACCAATTCGGACGCGGATACATCGAGAATATCTGAGATCTGGCGGCTCTGGGGGATTTATCGAGCGCCGCGACCGTCTGAGAGCGCTCCGGAACGCTCTGAGAGCTTTCAGGAACGGCCTGGAACGGACTTACCCTCGTCCTAGCCCCGCCCGACTCTTGGTCGTCGTCGATTCGAAGAACACCCTCGCGGAACGGCGACCACCAGCATGGACAATGGCCGCGACCGGCGTCGACGAGCTCCCGCGACATCTTGGTCACGGTCCTCGTGCTTCTTCCGTCGAGCGCCGGCTAAAATCGGTGCGCGGGCTCGGAGCATGGCGCGCCGCAGGCAGGGATCAGCGAGAGCGCGCAACCGCGGGGAGGAGTGCGCGCGGCACTTCGCCCGCGCGCGCGAGGGCGTAAGGGGGGCGCTCCGCAGCCCGGGCCTGGCTGGAGGCCTCCCGAATGGGGTCCGAGTGCACGCTGGTCGGAAGAAGTAGGTAGAAACATGGAGTAGGAAGGCGTTGAAAGTAGATCGGGTTCAGGTCCTCCCAGGGAGCCACAAAACACAGCAGAAGCAGATCGATTCTTGAAATAGGCAGGCACTTGAAGTCGATTGGGATCTGGGAATCCAGACATACCTACCTTCAACGACCGAGGGGTAGATGGGATCAGAGGATCGCGCCGCATCGCCGATGCATCGCCGATGCATCAGGGTCGCGTCGGCGACGTCGGCACTGCACAGCCGATGACGGCGTGGAGAGAGTCGGGCTCCACATCAAGCTGCGATCCTCCGATCCCATCTACTTCGATACCATTCGGGGGGCCTCAAGACGGTGCATGGCGAGGATCGAAGCCCTGCTGGAAAATTGCACCGAGCAGTGGCAGCAGTCTGCAGGTCAGCGGCGAGGTTGGCGGCGGAGGAGGAGAATCAGCATGAGGAGCACAAAGGTCCCAAGAAAACGGGCTCCTGCGATTCTGTCGCCGTCTCCCAGCTCCTGGGGCACTTCGTCCTCCTCCTCCTCCTCCTCCTCCTCCTCCTCCTCCTCCTCCTCCTCCTCCTCCTCCTCCTCCTCCTCCTCCTCCTTGTGGTGCCTCGGAAAGCAGCAAAAGACGGCTCAGGAAGAGCAGCTCGGTCCTGAAAGAGCCCCCGGGGGTCCAGGACCCCCCTCTTCCCCCGTGCCAAGGAGAGGAGGAGAGGACAACTATCCCAGCGGCCACTCTGCGCGAAGCAGAATTCAAAAAAAAAAAAAACAAAAAAAAAAGCCAGAGGAGCCGAAAACGCCTATACTGGCTTGAGGGAACTCTGATGAGGCAGGTCCATGGCTGGCCTACGAGTGATACTCACGACACTTGTTCACAGGCGTCAGCCCGCGATTACCGCAAAACAAAAACACATGCGCAGAGGATCCTCCGAGATTTGTGTAGCTGCCTTCCGTCGCGGAAACACACCAAGACGTCGGGAAGGAATCGTGCCGAAATCTGCTTCAGATGCGCCAGTCCTCCTCGCGAGCCCGCCACATCAGTAGAAGAAAAGTCGTCCAACGTTGGGCCAAATTCTGACGTCAAGAGGCTCCCCAGGTCGTGAGCAAACCAGGTCTGAGCAACGCCCGCCAGATCTAGTGGCTAGTGCTCCGCCGAAGCCCGTTGGCGCCCTCCCGAATCACTGCTGCTCCTCGTCTTTCTCCCCCCCTCATCATTCATAAAGGGTTCTTTTAGGGTGCCCTTGAAGCCCAGCTGGGGACCTGATGGGTCCCTTGGGGAGACCCTTGCGGGTTTTCCCGCCTTCCCCGAACACCACAAACCGAACACTAACCCCCAAACACCAACCCCCAAACACCAAACACCAACCCCAAACCCCCAACCCCCAACCCCCAACCCCCAAACACCAAACACCACACACCAAACACCAAACACAAAACATCAAACGTCAAACACCAAACACCAAACTCCAGACACCAGACACCAGACACCAGACACCAGACACCAGACACCAGACCCCAAACACCAGACACCAAACACCAGACACCAGACACCAGACACCATACACCGAACACCAAACACCAGACACCAAACACCAAACACCAGGCACCAACCCCAAACAGCAACCCCCAAACAGCAACCCCCAAACACCAAACAACAAACACCAAACACAAACACCAAACACCAAACACCAAACATCAAACACCAAACACCAAACACCAATGCTACTACTACTACTACTACTACTACTACTACTAATACTAATACTAATACTAATACTACTACTACTACTACTACTACTACTACTACTACTACTACTACTACTACTAATACTGCTACTACTACTGCTACTACTACGACTACGACCACAAGTACTACTACTACGACGACAACGACGACGAATACTACTACTACTACTACTTCTACTGCTACTACTACTAGTGCTACGAGTAGCACTACTACTCCTACTACTGCTACTGCTACTGCTACTGCTACTGCGAATGCTACTGCTAGCACTGCTACTGCCACTACTACTATTACTGCAACTACTGCCACTACTACTACTGCCGCACTGCTACTGCTGCTACTACTACTGCGAATGCTACTACTGCTACTGCTACTGCCACTACTAATACTACCACCACCAGTACTACTACTACTGCTACTACTACTACTACTACCACTACTACTACTACTGCTACTACTACTCATACTACTGCTACTGCTGCTGCTACTACTACTACTACTATTACGACGGCTGCTGCTACTACTGCTACTACTACTACTACGACTGCTCCACCTACTCCTGCTACTACTATTACTTCTACTACTATACTACTACGACTACTACGACTACTACGACTATTACGACTACTGCGACTACGACTACTACGATTACTACTACTACTACTACTACTACTACTACTACTACGACTACTACTACTACTACTACTACTACTACGACTACTACTACTACTACTACTACTACTACTACTACTACTACTACGACTACTACTACTACTACTACTACTACTAATACGACTACTACTACTACTACTACTACGACTACTACCACTACCACTACCACTACCACTACCACGGCTACGACTATTACGACTACTACTACTATTACTTCTACTACTACTACTACTACTACTACTACAACTACTACTACTACTACTACTACTACTACTACTTGTACTCATCCGAGTACTAGCACTAGTACCACCATTACTACTACTACGACTGCTACTACTACTACTACTACTACTACTACGACTACTACTACTACTACTACTACTACTACTACTACTAGTACTACGACTACTACTACTACGGCAACTACTACTACTACTACTACAACGACGACTACGACTACGACTACGACTACTACTATGATTACTACTACTACTACTACGGCTGCCACTACTACCACTACTGCTACTATTACTATTACTACTACGACCACGACCACTAGTACTACAACTACTACTACCGCCAATAGTACTACTACTACTACTACTACTACTGCTACTACTGACTATTCACTACTACCAGAAACTACTACTAGCACCACTACTACGACGACGACTACTACTACTACTACTAGTACTACTACTACTACTACTACTACTACTACTACTACTAGTACTAGTACTACTACTACTACTACTACCACCACTACTACTACTACTACTACTACTACTACAACTACTACTACTACTACTACTACTACTACTACTACGACTACTACTACTATTACCACTCAAACAACAACTACTACTATTACGACCACCACTACTACTACGACTACTACTACTACTACTACTACTACTACTACTACTACTACTACTACTAGTACTACTACTTCTGCTACTATTACTACTACTACTACTACTACTACTACTGCTACTACTACTATTACTACTACTACTACTAGTACTACTTCTCCCTAGTACTGACTACAAACCACGAGCTATTCACTACGGCCTAAAACCTACGAGCTACAATCTACGTACTACATGCAACTAGCTACTAAGAACAGACTGTTACTTACGTTCGGACCACCATTCATTTCTAAATACCAGCTACTACGTACTATCTACTAACTCCTAACTACGAGCTGCTAGCTACTACCAACTTGGTCGCCACATGTAGTTTCGTAATATTACCTAGAGGATTTCCTTCTCCGGGCAAGAGAAGCCAGACTGACGGGAAATCTAAAGTCAGTTTTGACAGAAGTGTGAGGAGCCTCGGTAAGGTCTCACCCAGAGAACTAACCCTTTCCGAAGGATCCCAAAGAATCTACAAGGATTCTGTAGTACACCCGGAGAACGAACCCTTTTCCCAGAGAGCGAACCCTTGTCCTGGAGAGAGAACACCTCGCGATCCCTACTTCCCCCAACATGAAGCACTTGCAACGCTTAGACAAATGAACGGCGGCTCCATTCGAAGACGTTGTTCTCACAAAACACTGCCCTGAACTGTGCGGTCATACTATATGTATGGAGAGATTGAGGGCGGTGCATGTTCATTAAGACGCTCTCGCCAAAATTGCAAGCCCATTGGGGCACTCCCCGCACTGGAAGGGAATGCTCGCGGGGACTCTTGAGAAGGGAGCTGGGGATCGGAGAGTACACAGACGAAAATCTGATCAAGCAGCTACAAGAAACTGTTCCTTTAGCTGTCCAGAAATATCTCGGAACAGACTTGGGCCAATTTCTGACGTCAGCGCTGGAGGGGCGAGCATGCTCAAGAAACCGGGCCACCTTTCTGGCAAGCTGGTTCGGAGACGATGGCCAAACTTTTCGGGATGAGGTTTCTTAATCAGATGCCCAACTGTACTGCAGCATCGCTGGCGCATCTCCCAGATTTACTCTGGACCTCTCGGAGATCTACCGACCCGGGTCGATCCAGACCCGGGTCAGTCGGGCTCTGCAGGCTCCTGCAGGATCCTGCAGGATCCTGCGGGATCCTGCGCCAAAGCACGGATCAGTGCAACCCGGGCTATGCAGGATCTTGCATCAGGTCGCGCCTGTCCCCCTACAGGGGCATCTTGGACGAACAGTAGAACATACGCAACACATATCCCACCGATGCCCAGAAGTACTCAAACAAAAATGACTGCGTTTGAATTTTCCCCCTGTTAGAGGGACGGGCCCGACTTAAAATCTGGCAGGATCCGGCGCGTTGACCCCCCCGTCTCTGGAGAGACCCCGGCCTCCCTCCTGCTGCTGGGGCGGCGCGCACAGGGCGCTCTCGCCAGAGTGACGGGCCCTTTTGGGGCGCCTCTCGCACGTTTTTAAACGTTGTTTTATGTTTATGTTGTTGTTTTCTCTATGTTGTTCGCTTTTTGTGTTTGTTTTGCTGTTTTCTCCATGTTGTTTGTTTTTATGTTTGTTTTGTTGTTTCCTCTAGTTTGTTTGTTTCTATGTTTGTGTTGCTGTTTTCTCTATATTGTGTTTGTTGTCCTATGTTTGTTTGGGGGGGGCGCCTCTCGCAGTGAGAAGGAATGCGCGCGGGGACTTTCGAGCAGGGGGCCTGGGATCGGAGAGTTTACACTGCACATCGCTGGCGCGTCCCAGACTTGCTCTGGACCTCCCTCCTCCTACCGATGCTGGCGCGCACGAGGTGGTGGCGCGGTCCACCCCGTGCCCCGCGCGGCGCGGCTGGCGCGCGCGCTGACGCCGAGAAGGGAACGTAAGGGGCCGCTCCCACGGGCATTAGCCCCGGCCCCATCGGGGCGGAGCGTGCGAAGAGGCCGAGCCCTCGCAGGCACAGCCAATATAGGGACGCAAGGCGGAGCTGGGGCGAGGATGACATCGGGCACGGACCAGTCGAGAAGCTCCGAGGTCCGGCGGCGCCGGAGGATGGTCTCGGGCCCGGTGGGAAAAGGAGGCAAAGGAAGAGGAGGAGGAGGAGGAGGAGGAGCAGGAGGAGCAGAAGGAGGAGTAGAGGCAGGAGCAGGAGGAGGAGGAGGAGGAGGAGGAGGAGGAGGAGGAGGAGGAGGAGGAGGAGGGGGAGGACGGAACGCTCTGAGAGCGTTCCGGAACGCTCCGGAACGGAATCATCCTCGTCCTGGCCCCGCCCGGTGAAGGGCGCGTGGCCCTGCAGGAAAACATAGAGGCCTCCCAGATGGGGTCCGAGCAGATGGCGTCGGAGGGTCGCGCCGCATCGCCAACGCATCGCCGATGCATCGGCGATGCATCGGCGTGGGGAAGCACGGGCTCCGCATCGAGCCGCATCGTCGATGCATCTGCGATGCGGCGTGATCCTCTGACCCCATCCACTCGGACCACATCTAGGAGGCCTAGAACTTTGTCGGGCGTGTCCTCCTACAGGAGGATTTGGGAGGAAGTATAAAAATGATTCAAACAAAGATTCAAAACATATCCAAAAATAATCAAAACATCGTCCCCTGATTTTGCATTTTGTCCCACTCAGGGCTTGCATATGTAAGGGGTCCTGGCGAATTCATCTGGTTAGGTGAGGTGCATCGGCGATTTCGGGGGTGCCCGTAGGTGCCCGGGGGTGCCCGGAGGTGCCCGGGGGTGCCCGGGTGCTCTTGCCCTATAGCCCTATAGCCTATAGCTCGAATAGCCCTATAGCCCCATCGCCTTATAGCCCTATAGCCCCATAGCCCCATAGCCTTGCAGCCCTACGGCCCTCTAGCCCCGTAGCCCCTCAGCCTATATAGCACCCCAAGAGATTGCGCTTGGGCTTCTCCCTGGCATGATGGCGTTCTCCTCCTGTGGAGGGACACGCCCGACTCGGGCCGAAAAAAAAGCCGAGAGCATCGACGGCCGGTGTCGTCTGGGTGCTGGGCGCCGGCTCGGCCGAGCCCGCCCGCGTCACCTCGGGGCGCCGCTGCCCGGCCGGCCGGCGGAGGGCGCGCCGGGCCCCTGGGAGTACCAGCTCTCGAAGCGGTTGGCGTCGCTGCTGCCGTCCTGCGCGAAGTACTTGATGCAGAAGACCACGAACTCCTCAAGGGGGGGAAGAGGGGGGCTCGTCCTCCCTCAGCCTCCCTCCCTCCTCCCTCCTCCCTCCTCCCTCGTCCTCTTCCTCCTCCTCCTCCTCGCTCCTCCTCGCTCCTCCCGCCTCCTCCTCCTCCTCCTCGCTCCTCCTTCTCCTCCTCCTCCTCCTCCTCCTCCTCTCCTCCTCCTTCTCCTCCTCCTCCTCCTCCTTCCTTCTCTCCTCCTCCTCCTCCTCCTCCTCCCCCTCCTCCCCCATCCTACCCCCCCTTCCGCACCCTCCTCCTGCTCGAGTCTTTGCATGAGCTCTGCATAGATCAATCGCGGGGCGTCTGCCCCCTGTAGGCCCACCAGACACCCCGTTTAGGCTGAGCAGCAACCCAAAATACGCCCTCACATAGCCGATGCATTGACCTATGGTAGGTCTACAGCGCAGGCCGTTCCACAAGAAAACTTTCACAACACAAGAAACCCAACCCTGAGACCCCAGGACGTCCATCGGTGTTTGGTGTGGGAGCGTCACGCTTTCCATTGCAAAACCATCGAAACCCAAGACACCCAGGGCACCCTGGAGGCAAGCAGGGTATCTCTTGGCATGGGTCTCCACTGTACGCGCAGGCTGTGCGTGGGCCGATCGCGGGCCGCTGGCTGCCTGTAGGCCCACCAGAGGCCCACCACAGGCCTACGTAGCGTACGCGTAGACCCAGGGCTGGCTCCGTGCACAGCCCGCGCACACACCAATGGCGGGCCGCCGGCACCCTGCCGGCCCACAGGATCCCCACCCAAGGCCTGTACAGAGCCTATGCGTAGGCCAACGGTTAGTCGATGCGTAGGCCGTGCACGCGCTGATCGCGGAGCGCTGGCCTCCTGCAGGCCCACCAGAGGTCTACGCACAGCCGATGCACGTGCCTCTGGCAGGCCTATGCGCAGGCCATGCGTAGGTCCGTCGCGGGGCGTCGGCCCTCTGCAGGCGCACTGGAGTCCCCCCTTTGGCCTGTGCGAGCCTGTGCGTAGGCCTATGGTAGGCCTTCGGTAGGCCTATGCGCAGGCTGTGCGCAGGTTGATGGCATGCCAGCGCGTAGCCTACGTACAGGCCTATGGTAGGCCTACGCATAGGCTGCGCACAGGTCAAGAGCAGGCTCTCGGCGACCTGGAATGCGTATTTCGTAGACCTGTGCGTGAACTACCCGTAAGCATAATATAGACCTGTATATAGGCTGCGCGTAGACCCATGACACGCCTGTGAGAAGGGTAGTAGGCATACCTCGGCCGACTGTAGTTCTAGGCGTGACCTTTGCCCAGTGGGCCTATGTGCAGGCTGCGCATAGGCCTACAGTAGGCCTACGCATAGGCTATAGTAGGCCGCACGCAGACGATTAGTGGGTTCTGAGAATAAGCCGATCAGTAGGCGATGCACCGCCCTGCAATAGGCCTATAGACGGGCTAGGCATAGGCCTACAGTAGTAGCTCCACACATAAGCTATCATAGGCACAACGGCGCATGAGCCAGCGGGCCTACGCACTGCCTACCTGCAGGCCTACTAGAGACGATAGGCCTACACATCGGCCATGGATGGCCGACCATAGGCCTGTAGGTAGGCTGCGAATCGGCCTAGAGTCGGCCTATAGACAGGCTGTGCATCAGCCGAGTGGAGCCTATAACACGCTATGCATAGGCTATCGTCGGGATTGTTGATTGGAAGGGGTGGAGGCGGGAGGAAGACCCCCCCCTTCCCCCCGCTCCTCGAAATCAATCTCCCCGCTGCCGTCAATGTCCGCCTGCATCCACATCTGTCTGATCCGGCCGACCGGAAGGCCGATGTGTTTGGGAACCTTGCCGCACTTGTACAGCACGTCCCTGAACTCCTCCTCGTCGATATTGCCGCTGCCGTCTGCATCGAAAGAGTCGAAGTGTCTTTTAAAGACGTCAATCTCGTTGGCGGATACGCCCAGCTTGCGGGCGAGCTTGCGCAGCTTCTGCTCCTTCGCGTCCAAGTGGAAGTCCTCAACAAAACAATGGCTGCTGTACCAGATGGCGAATTCGCGGAAATTCAAGGATCCGTTTTCAACTTTGTTCGAGAACTTTAGGGCGCGAGCTATAAAAACCTTCTCCTCATCAGCATCCCACGAAGCAGTATCGTTGCCGAGCATATCCCTCAAGAGGGGCCCGAGGTTCTTCTGGGTAAGGTAGCCCTCCCTCAGCAGGCTGCCGTCCCGTGGTACCGTCGCGTGCGTCTTGAACAGGCCGTAGGCAATCCGCATGCCGTCCACTGGAATGGCCATCTCCCTCGCATACTTGAAGATCTCGACCACGGGGTCGAGCTCCCTCTGCTCCAGGACCGGCGTCGAGGGCTTCGGCACCGGCGGCATGGTCTCCCCGCGCTTCGGGGGGCGGTCGAGGAGACCTGCTGGGGAAACCAAGAGGTACCGTCGGGGCGTTGACCTAAGGAACTCTAAATAAGGAACGAGGCCCCTTTCTCCCACAAATTGAACTTCGATTTCCCATGGAAAAACTTAGGAAAACCTGAGACAAACTGCAGAACAATCAAGGAACACCGAGCCCATCCCCAACGAAAAGGGTTCCTTCTTCAGGGCCCCGACTGTAATTACCGACGCCGCACCCCTCCCGGACCTCTGAGGGGGGTGCGTTCCGACCAGAGTCTCGAAAGGAATCTGGTCGTGGCGACGAGGGCCTTCCGCGAGGCCCAGGAGGGCGAACACGAGGGGCACTTGTGGCGGCGGTATCGTTAGCTCGGGCATGTCCTCCTGCAGGCGGGCTGCAGAGGAAAAACAAAAAGTGGTTGGCAAGATACTCAGATATAGCCAAACATTC